TCCCTTGCTTAGGGAAGGCTGGTTCTCTCTGCTGCAATGCAAAAAAGGGTAGTGAAATCCAGCATGGTTATGGCATCATGGCTGAAGAAGGGATCCTGAAGTGAATGACTTAGCTTGGACAGTCACTGTCCACATGCACCATTTGGATTGGTGCATGATGTGAATAGAAAGTGAGCCAAGAGGGAAGGGAAAAATCTGTTCCTCCAAAATGCGTGTGGTGCACTGGGAAGGTTAGAAAGATGTCAGCGTGATTCTTATGAAAAATAGTCTGTCTTACACAGGAAGACATTAATGGTTTTTTTTGTTTGGTTGTTTTTTTCCCCCCTCAAGAAAGTAGAGGCTGTGATTCGTTCTGTTAAAAAGCTCATTAGTGTGCATTTCTTCTCTGAAAAACTCTCAAGCGAGTCATCCATTCAGCTATGTCACAGTGAGGGAAGAAAAGCTTGAATGCTGTGTAATTCAATAATTAGAACATTTCACGTAATTTTCTGTAACAGTTGCAAGCAGTTGCAGTGTTTAGAAATTATCTCTTAAAATCTGGACGGCTTCAAGCAGAATGGAGAAGAGTTGGACAAAAAAAGTGCATTTAAATGCTTTCCTGTTACCTTTTCGTAATCACCGATAGTCACACAGCGGATTTCTGTGAGTAGTGTTGGTAAATAAGACATTATAGTTCTGTAAATACATTACAGTAGCCCGTTACCTTGCACGAAGATACAAATGATGCATTCCATCTGTTGAAAGGCCACAGGAGCTCAGGTGTGTCCACCAAAATGTGAATCTTCAGGAATTACAGATGAAGTTCGATTCTTACTGTTGCCAGTTTCTAAGTAACTTACATTGTAACACTAAAGAAGCAGGCTCTGACATTTAAACAACATGAGATGGTGGCTAAATGAACTCTCTAGGTTAAACCACTCTTAGATGCATTATCTGTATCCGGTATTTGTCCATTGCAGTAAATTTTACCTGGAGCTGTAGCAATATTGGGGTGAAAGGAGCACCATCTTCATGCATTACTCCCATTACTCAACTCATAAAGTGTGAGTGAGGAATCAGAAAAGTAGTCTCTTCCTGTTCACCTGCTTTGTCTGTCACAACAGTCTTATCCTCTCCCTGTCAGGAGGGTACAGCCCTTTTTAAAGGTGAACACTTCATACCCAGGATGAGGGGAGCAGCTGCCAGCCTGTGAGAACCAGAGAGGGGCTTTGCCCATTCTCTGGGGTTTGCTTGCTCTCTGCTTCCGTCCAGTATGTCTCGTGCCTGTCTGTTCCAGTTTACTTCCAGTTGAGTTAAAAGAGGAGAGCTGGGAAACCCAGCTTCATGTGCATCAGAGGAATCTACTTTCTCTCTCTGGTTAGCAGCGAATCATCTAAAAATCAAATCATGGATGTTTGAGATTAACCATGTGTGCGAGAGAAACAAGGAGAAGTGTGCCGAGTAGGGTACGCCTGTCGGGTGGGAGGGAGGAGCACAGTTATGTTTTCTGTTGGACTGGTCTGTATACTAAATTATTGTCTTGTAGCTCTGGGTATTAAGCGCTTGTGCAATAAACAGGTGGACTGTGTAAACTTCATGCAGCTCATCACATAGGCTTTTCGGCAGAAAAAGCACAATCTTAAGCTGAATCGAGGGCAGATCATATTTTTAAGTCGTTGTATACCTGTGACTGTATTTTCTTCTTGCCCAGTTCAGTGGCTCTTCCCGTGGGAAAGGGGCATTACTACTCCTTTCCTCTTGGTAGTCTGTCCTAATGCTGTGCAGTTTGTCCTTGAAGACGCACTACTTAATGCCACGGAGGCTTTGGCCTTAAGCTAAGAAATGGACTTCTAGGTTTTTGTACTACTAAATCAATCAAAGTTTATTTTCTTTAACTTAACCTGGGGTTTTAAGATGGAGGCCATACAAATGAATATTTTGAGACTGTTGGGGAAGATCACTGTCCTGGAAAGGAACACATTACTGTTAGGAATTCCTACATGCAGTTAGAAAATTTAGAAAAAATAAACTTCTATTATGAAATTAAAACTCTTTTCCAAGATCTATTTTAGTTGAACTTCAAACTCTACAATACTCAAAGGTGTAAATCTGATTGTTACATTATGGATAAAAGAGTGACTTTTTCTGGTTGGGTATATTTGTTAGGATGTTCTAAAGTGAAAAATGGATGTGAAGTGTATCATTCTAAGGAAGTGTGACTGTAAATAAATATTTTTTTTTTTTTTCTGATGCAGCTTCCTGTTTCTGGCACTGATAGTGCATGGCGACTTATCCTAACTCTGTCCTGAAGTGAGGTGGGAAATCTGTCCAATAATCCAGCATCAATAAGACAGACAAGGTAGTGATAAATGTATGTTTTTGGAAAGGAGGTGAAAGAAAACCTGTGGATGGACAGTTTTATTTTTTTAATACTTTAAATTAAAATAAACCCAAACAAACAACTTCTGCAAAACCCTGTGCTTTTATGACCAACTTAGTGTTAATTAGGCTAAGTTGATGTGCTTGCAGTCAAGGCTTCTGTGTTGCAAAATATGAATAATGCATTAGTGAGCATTAACAATATTATAGACTTCACTGTTTCATCATAGTGTCTCAGCAGCAACCTGGCTGTGTTAATTGCAGGTCCCTTTTCTCTGTAATTAGACTGTATCCACCTACCTCCTGTTAGGTCTGATTGGGAGAATGAGTTTTGTTCAATAGTTGCTTGTCTCTCTCTTTGGATGTCATTGGGCTAAACAAAGGGATTTGTATGAAATGTTTGCTTTATATGAAGTTAATTACCAAAAAACCCCCAGAAACTGAATTGCAATCTAGAGATAGCATCATACTACATTTTTTTTAATGCAAAACATTGCCATTGAAACGGTAGAGTTAAAAATATATAGGTGCATCAAGGTATGATGTATTAAAGGCTTTAGCTGAGTGTCTTGTTTCTCTGGTAGGAGAAAAGTAATTTTCAATGCAGTACTTTAAAAATAGACTGAGCAAAGCAAAAGTCAGTTTTCTCATAAAGCACCGTGTTATGACATCCTTAAAGGTAAGGGAGAAATACCTGCACGTCTCTACGAAGAATTCTTTTTGCACAAGAGAACAAACAGCATGCTTGCCTGCATGTGGCTTTGGAAAGGTCAATTTTGATGTGTAGGGCCGCCTGCTTTTAAGATCTCCCGTATTTGTACTTCAGATGTTAAGATAACTGCGTCTTTAATTGCTCCTCATTCCAGATCTATTGTTTTGGCCCTGTCCAAAACAGTGAAGAAAGAAGGGGACACTTGACTAGCTATCTGGATTTTTTTTTTTCCCATTCCTCTGCTCCCTAGTTTCTCTGTAGTTTCTGTTTTTCTTTTAAACATAAGGCCTTTGCGTTTTTTTTTAACGAGAGATGCCTGATACAAAGTGATAATTTTAAAATTGTCTTATATAAAGTGTTAAAGGTAGAACTCTGAAGTATATGCTGGGTTTTGCTTGGACACAAGATGGCTTTGTTGCACTTTCTTTTAAGTTGGAGCGGTTGTCCACCTCTGTTAAACCACAGAGAGTAACCAACTGTTCTGACCATGTACACTGCATAACAAATTTGTGGCCTAATGAGTAGCTAATGTGTGGTCTATTGAGCAGCTTTTAAAAATGTAAAATCTTGGTTAAAACATCTCAGTCAAAATTTCAAAAAAGGAAAAAATTTTTATCTTCCTTTCTGGAGAGGAACCCTCAATGTGTTCTGATCATGCATATAATAAAACCGATGTTTAGCTCTTCATTTACTTGTTCATGAAATAATACATGATTCAACTTGATCCCCTTCGTAAAGCCACCTTACCACCTATAATCTTTGAAATAAGATATTTTGCTCTGGCAGTCTTTTCTTAAATGAAAAAAAACCCAACCCCAAACCCAAACCAATGCTGGTTATCATAATTATGGGGGATGTAAAAGTAATCTACTAAGGTGATAATGTAACCAATATAATGTTGTAAGGCTGACAGCTTTTGCTGCAATTTCACTTTCCCTGTGAGATGTATACATGTATCTCAAAATCCTAGGGAATATTAGTTCCTTTATAGCTTTTTTCCATGACAGTTTACAGCTGATATCTTACAAAAAAACCCACCCAAGTTTGAAATTTCTAAATGTCACACATATTTAAAAGCTGTCTGACTTTAAAAAAAAAAAAAACAAAACAACTTTTAAATTCTGAGCACTGGGAACTGGGATAACTGTTAATTTGAAGTGTCGGATCTTAGAGTTCTTTGTCCATAGCTCAGTTAATGCATCGTGCACTTTATTGTTTGAGAAATTAGTGCATCACAAAATGTGTCTGAGAGAGGTTCTCTGGAGAGCTTCCTAAAGTAATGCTTTCCAAAGATGGAAAGCTTCAGAACTGACATCAGATACATTTAAATGACTTAACAGTTTAGTTTTTTAAAATGTTTTTAATGTTTTGTTGTTAACAGGTCTGCAGGCAATAAGGAATCCACCATGAATGGGCAGCTGGACTTAAGTGGGAAGCTGATCATCAAAGCTCAGCTTGGGGAAGATATTAGGAGAATTCCTATTCATAATGAAGATATCACCTATGATGAATTGGTGCTAATGATGCAAAGAGTTTTTAGAGGAAAACTTCTGAGCAATGATGAAGTCACAATCAAATATAAAGATGAAGGTAAGGTTTAATTACTACTGGTGAGGTTTAATTACTACTGGTGCTCTGGTATGATTTATCTATGGACAGAGACTCTGGAATTCACCCCTTCAGAATTGTCCAAATTCATTGGCAAATGCAAGTGATTTCTTGTGAAATCCTTTGGATCAGGCAGTAGAATGTGTATCTCTTGTGGTTGTGCTGTCTTAATGTAGTGTTTCCTCCAGTTTTTCTGAAATATCAGCTATCTGAAAGGGGTTTTTTTGCTGTTGCAGGAAGCTGATGCTATTGCAGGTTTCTCTTCTGTCCACTCATTTAACCGTTTTTTTGTGTTTTCAGCGATAAAGTGGTTTTGAATAGTGAGGAGTGAATAAACATGTATGACAATGCAAGCCCTTATAAGACTTTGAAAACTTGATTTATGTAGTAGTAATTAATGATTACGTTTTCCTCCATCAGTGAAGATTAGAAGAAACTTTTAATTTAACCTGACATATTTATTAAAAGTAATCTTTCTCCTGTGTGACTGTTTGAATCTGTTGGACATTGGTTGTTTCAAAGAAAATCTCCATCATTAGTGCTAAACAAATGCAACCTTAAGAAAGAAGGGCTTCGACAGAAGGAAAAGGGCCTTGTTTGAGACGTGTAGAAAGAGAGTTGTGGTTCTGAGGGTTTTTCCTCTTTGAATGTCAGTGTGGGGCATGGAATAAGTTACTCAGTTTGGGACAGAGGGGTGGTATTCATAAAATGAAACTCAGAATGAAGTGATAAAATCCAAAATCTCTTAGTCAGATCAAAGACTGTGTGATAATTATGCTGGTGTTCAGTAAAAGAGCTACGTTACTGAAGCATTCAGGTTCATTTTTCTTAATAGCACTAGGAAACTTTAGCACTGTCTGTGGTACCTAAAATGTCAAATAACATTTGCTCGTACATCTAGGAAATAAAATTTCACTTTGAATGACCTGCGACAGTTTTTTCAGGTTCATGAAACTTTTGAGAGGCACTGCTCATCAAAATTGATATGCAATGAAGGGCTAATATTTTGGGTCTTGATCTCTAGTGGGAGAGAGCTCAGTGGATTTGTGGTGTTTTTGTTTTTCCTCTTATCACAGGATCGATTTCTTTTTTCTTTCTGGAATAAGAAAGGTGAAAGGAAATTGATGGATGCTTTTTCATTAGGTTAAAGCTTCTAGTCCCTTTTTTTGCATTCTTACTGTTCTTTAAGTATAGTTCGCTGGTTTTGTGTATGCTTCTATCTCTGTCTTTTTTTGAAGAAGATAATGGTGTATGATGGACATTGTAATCATGGTTTCATTCTTTGGTTGTCTTTCACAGCCTAGAGACCTCCTACTTTTGATTTTAGCTTTTTTTGTCTCAGAATGTGCTAATTCTCCACTGTGACGTGGGATTTCAGTATATGTTATCCTAGCTGATCATCACTAGTAAGACTGTTTAAACGTTGTTAATATCAGAGGAAGTTGCAAGTGATTAAGGAAAAAGTTAACAGAACTAGGCTTGATTTTGATTGTCATATGAGGACCGTGGTATTCTTGACTTTGCTTCAGCTAAGCTAAGATTCTTCTTTACATCTACTTCAGTCATTAGAAGCATTGGAATATATACGCTCTAGTTATTTCTGTTTTGTTATTTATCGCTCCAGACCTGGAGGAACGCTTGTCTTCATCTGTTATGAGGAGATATCTTAAGTTGGTCTAAGGATTTCCACTACTTCTGCAACCTTGATCTGTGTCTTCTCAGAATTCATGTGCACACTCTTTGAGCATTCAGAAGAATGCTTCATCTACCCCTCCTGGCTTTGTTTCTTGTTGCTATAACATGTGAAGCTAGTGATCTTCAGGCCTGCATATGCGATTTTCTACTTAAAATTTCTGTAAAATACTGTTGCTTTGTATCTTTGTCAAACTGTCATGATCCTTGAATCTAACACATTTTGTTTTTTTGAAACCTGTGTGCTTAATTGGAGAGGCAAGGAAACTTTAAATCCCAATCCTTCTGTCTCTGGATTTGTGGACTAAGATATGCAGAAGCATATTCCTAAGTTATGTTTAGGTTATGCGATGCTTTTATTAATTACCAGGGAAAAGAAGTTTCAGTTTGATTACTGCCTTGTGGAGGTAGGTTTTATATTCAAGCTGGGCATCTTTCAAACTTCTGAACTAAGGAAATTGCTCCACTAGGTGTGAAATCATTTTCATGTCCTGTGTAAGGTTCTTGAATATGTAGTAAAACTCTGTCTGCAAAAAAAACCCCAAGCAAACCAATGAGGACTACCATCAGTGAATTTATATGAACCAAAGAGTAGAATTGCATCTTAAGCACACTATGTTGTTGAGTTACATAGGCTAAAGGCCCTAGGGAGCCAATAATAGAAACGTTACTTTTTTTTGTTTTTTTTAAAGTTAGGCTTGAATTTAAAACTAGAGTGCCTAATACGAGATTGGCCTTTTTGTTCTTGTGTTCATTACCTTGCAGTAGAAGTTAATGTCTTTGTGTCAGAGCCAATAATGAGTTATTAACTCATACTGCATGTAATCAAGGCAGTGTGCTAGTCAGTAATGTCTCTACCTTTGGTAAATTTACCAAAGTGAAGGAAGTTTTTGAATTTTTTTCGAAAATGGAATAGAGGGGAAAAAAAAAAAGATAAGGGTAGATAAAGCTGGTAGATGAGGAAGCATAGCTGGCAGGGCCAAGGATAATGAGGATGATTTCTAATGTATTAAACATTTCTAATTTCTTCTGACTTCTAATGTCATAAAAATTGGAATGCATCATGACGATGCAGAATTAATGCTAAAATACTTTCCAGTCCATCTGTAAGTTAAGTGAGTCACTAGCTTATACTAAAGATAAAAAAAATTATAATTGGCGTAGCAGGGAATATTTAGGATACATGGGAAATTGTAGAGAGTGAAAGCGATGTCCCTTGTAAAAATGAGAAAGGTAAGTTCTTGAAATAACAAGATTAGTAGTGAAAATAAAGGAAAGTCTGTTTTACTTTCCAATAGAAAATAATTAACATTCTATATTCCTATCTATATCATGATAACAGGAATTAGGCTTCATTGACATTCCTTAAAATGAAAAGTTTATTTCATAAATCTAATATACTTAAATTGTCAGACTTTTGTATGGCTTGACATACACATACACCTTTTGAATCCTAGCATATGCTCTACTTGGGTAATAGCTTGATGGCTGTCAATAGGAATCGTAGAACTGTCTTTATGCATTTAACTAGATTCTGTACTTGCTGTTTTTCAGCCCTTTTTTGTTTTTGCTAGCAATTTAAAATAGAAACTTTAACCATTGTTCTTAATGCCTTCAACATAAATGTTAAAATAGGTGAGGGAGAATGAGATGGAATGATTCTTTTGGGTGACATTAATCCATGTAAACTGTGTGCATTACTATACATTTTCATTTGGCTGTGCAGGATAAACTGTTTAGAATGTGCACCTTTGTTCAGGTGGTGAATCTGAACATTGACTGGTATGGCAGAAAAGCATCATAAGATGGTCTGCCAATGTTGTGCATTAAGTAATTATCATTTATTGTCTTACCAGGAGAGTACAGAATACAAGCGCTTTGTGTTAAGACACCAGTGGATTTTGGTATCAGCATTTAGGAAAGGATACTGAAAAGCTGGAGGAAGTGTTTGAGTTGGAGGGAGCCCCCCCCCCCGCTCTCACTTTACTGCCAAAGAGCACTTTACTGCCACTGTTTGACTTTCATGAAGTTACTTGTTTAGGCTCTGGTTGTATGTCTTGTCATAATGGCAAACAGGGATACTATTACCCTCCCCTTCCTGGCACGGGTGAGGCCCCACCAGGAAGTTTGTGCCCAGTTTTGCCCCCTGCACCCCAGGCTAAAAAGACTTGGAGAAACTGGAGGGGGTCTGGCAGGATGCGGTGAGGATGGTGAGGGGCCTAGGGCAGGTGGCCTAGAAGGGGGCATTTGAGGGAGCTGGGTTTGTTCAGTGTGGTGCAGAGGAGGCTGAAGGCAGAGCTAATAGCAGCCTCCAGCTAACTGAGTGGGAGCACCAGGTGGCAGCAGTCATAAATTGCAGTTTGAGAGGTTGAGCAGGAGTTTTGGCCAGAAGGGTCACTGGAGCAGGTTGCCTAGTGGGGTTTTGGAGCCTCCATGCTTGGAAACTTTCCAGTCTTTGCTCAGTGAATCCATGACTGATACTGCTGTTGACCAATGTTTTTTGAGATTGTGAAAGTGTAAACAGAACATAGGATACAAAAAAATCTTTGGAGAAAACAATTATTCTTTCAGGAAACTTGAAAACTATTTCATATGTCATCAGCTTGTTAGTATTTGTAAGATTTCTTGTTTACTGTATTAGAAGGCAACTTCTTTGAAGACTGGCAGGCGTTGTTAGGTGTTGTTAACGGTGCTGTACTAAGAAAACCTTCCATTGCAAAGGTGTTACTTGCAGTCAGGTATGACAAAATTAGACTATGTAGTTCTTCAAATTTTGAGCTTTTTTCAACTTGCCATCATGTGCTTTATGACTATTCCTACTGCAGCATTCATTTATTTGAAAATTTTAACCATAACTTTTATACAGTTGGAACTTTGTCACCAACGCATAAGGAATAGCTCAGAACTTTTAGGCGGTAATCTGTAATTAAAAACATGTTTCTGTGTCTGTCCACAGAGCCTCCTTGTAACAGTGTTTTAGGGAGGAACATAGGTAGCCTGGAGTCAGCTTTGTTTCAAGCTGTATGCCATTTGTCTAATGCTGTGGCTTCTGAAGGTGAAGCTTCACTGGATAGCGTCTCATCTCAGTTCCCAGTCTGGGAACTGTTCTGGAAGGAAGTGGTCCTGCTATCCCTTCCCTTTCCCTCTGCCAGTACGCACGTCTTCCTAATAATGCGTTCCCACTCTATTCCCGCTTTCCTTTGCACTGGCTAATTTGTGTTCATTTAATCTATTAATAATCTGATGAATATGTTAAAACAACAGAAAATCCGTCCTGTCAGAGAGAATAGTCTTGGTTTATCTGTGATGTTGTTGAGTAAGCAAAGATGTTCATGTGGATTGTCTTGACTCAAGTTAGAAATTGTGAGAGACCAGACTGGATGGGAACTTGGTGTTTCTTCTGGGTATTAGTAGGATTACAGGTGTTCAGTGCTTTATGTATAGCACTTTTTATCTTCAGAATAAAGGATCCCATACAGTACTAATATAGTTTCTGTGACTGAAAGCAATGTGCAAATTCATTAGGATGCATTGGGATGGGAGTTCCTCTGAACTCTGATGCACAAAAATAAATGGCTAAGAGTTGAGACTTCATGTCAGTTTCCTGGTTTGAGAGAAAAGATTTCTTCTGACTACTTTGACATCTTCATCTCTTCGTTCCTATTTGTGTGTTAAGGCTGATAGATATTTTTACTATTGATTTTTCACACAGGAACTTTGATTTTCAACAAGGGAATGATAATAGTCTTGCATCTCAGTGTTCTGAGTGTAATCTGGGAAAGTGTTCTAGTCACTTAAGATTTTCCCTTGTTAGCGTGCGTGTAAGTAACACTTCTGCCCTAGTGTGAAGTTCAGTAGTTAATGGCTTTGCTTCTAATGTAACTTTTTCATGTTCTTTTCAGATGGAGATCTTATAACAATTTTTGATAGCTCGGATCTTTCCTTTGCAATTCAATGCAGTAGGATACTTAAGCTGACATTGTTTGGTAAGTATAGAAGATTGTTTGTCTTTTTCTTTTTTTTTTATGTTTATTAAAATTCAGGCAGTGGGCTTCACTTGAAGGTACTAAAAACTTCCAGTTTGTCACCTCAGAAGAAAGAAAGCAGTAACTTAAAAATACTGGATTAATACGTGATATGTATTTTCTCTCTTGATGTTTCATGGGACAGCTGAACTTACAGAAACTGAAACTGTTCGTTTTTATAGGATTGCTTAAAGTATTTGGCTTACATATATATGTGGTCAATGTTTTTTTCTTACTATTTTCCATGTTATCTTCTCCTCTCTAGCATTTGTGGGGTTTTCTTCACAGGTGCACGAGAAATGGAAGATGATGATTATCTTGCAGTGTTACTAGTATACTGCTAAAAACTGACAGTAATTGCTTAAAGTTGAATACATTTTAACATTTATTCTTTGGCCTTTGTATAATAGTTGTTTATTTTCAAGCTGCTATTGGTAAATTAGCATGTAGTTCCAAGGAATAGCAAGCAGCCTTTAACTTGGACACTGACCTTATTCATGAATTGCAGCAGTGTTGTATATGCTGCATTAGTTCTAAAGGGACAGCTTTCCACAACCAAGTACGATATTTGAATTGTTCAGGGTGTACTCATGGAAATGAGTAAACCATGCAGCAACTTACTGCAGACTTTACTCTGCAGTTCCGGTTCTGTGGATTATGCTGAAATGAGATTGTATTAAAGGAACAGTAAGCTCTAGAATGAGTTCAGTCTGTGTTGACTAAACTTTGTCATTTTAAACTCCACAGAGGATGACAATGCTACGAGCAAGTAAAAGTTGGGAATATTTTTTTTTTTTCTCTTCTTTTCAAAACATTACTACAGTCTTAAATTTATCCAATTGCTCTTTTGCAGTGAATGGACAACCAAGACCCCTAGAATCTAATCAGGTGAAATACCTGCGTCGAGAGCTGATAGAACTTCGCAATAAAGTCAATCGTTTACTGGACTGTTTAGAACCACCAGCTGAACCAGGCCTTTCCACTAATCTGCCCGAAAGCGGTAGGCAGCCTGGCAAAGAATTGTTTGGCTTGATTTGCAGAGTTGTGTGCTGTTTAACAAAGTGAAAAATGCAGGCTTGAATACTGGTTGTGATCATTCTTCATTGTTGCTTGATTGTTCAGAACTTAATTTTTAATGCTTCAGTTATTTTAGAGGCAGAAATTTTATTCACGTTATCTGGAGTAAAGCGGTCAGTTAACTTTGGAATAAAACTTCAAAGTCTCGAGTTTTTGTTGCAATGTATGAAAACACTGTAACTAACACTTGTGAGCCATGACACTGTTTTGAGAGGGCTTTGAGCTGAATTAATAGTTTGTTGTTGCTGAAGAGTTCTTTGCTCCCAGCTGAGCACTCCCACTGCTTACTTTGGGCTAGCTCTGGTGCTTATCTTGTCATGTTGCTAAGCAAGTTTGATTCACTGAAACAGTAAAAAGCAAATTCAGCAAAAATTATATCCACTTTTTTTGCCAGGTTAGGAAATTGAATCCACACATTTTGAGTTCAGACCAGCATCAGAGCTGTCTCGGGGTAAGCAGCACAAGGGTGCAGGCAGGGGTGGGAAAGGATTATCGGGGGAGGCCAAAACAGGGAATGAAGTCTTATTCTCCCAGTTTTGAGGCATTGCTCTCCTAGCTTAGGGCTGTTGTACTGTAAAAACTATACCTCTGTGCACTTAACTACAGATTTTGGGGAAGCTGGACACAGAAAATAATGACACAAAGTCGTGGAGTACAGCGTTCTGAGTGAAGAGGTGAACCAAGAACGCCAGCCTTTCTTTTAGGAAACGCTACTTTTGTGTTTTATACTTTGAAGTTTTATTGGTTTTATTGTTTAAAAAATCCCAGACCCTGTTCCTACAATATAAGCAATTAATAATTTCAGTGGAATACCATGGATTCTGGTTATAAACCATTTGGAAGGAGACTGGGGTAATGATCTTAGAGTGTAAACAAAACTAGCCAGTCTAAACCTTATCTGCACTAGTTTATTTTTAAGGGAAAATGTAGCACTCTACTAGGTTAAGGGGGTTTCTGAGAGAGTCAGTGTTACTTGTATAGCTGCCAAGAGATGACCTTCAGCTGTCAGCTTAGGAAGAATTCAGGGAGAAGGGGATAGAACAAAACAAAAACTGCAGTTGATAAAACACTGTAATAAACTAGAACCTATCCTGTAAATTTTCTTAATTGTGAATTCTCTGTAGGCAAGTGATACCAGAACAATTTGTTGAAGCAGGAGCCTTGAACCTTTGAATTTAAGACAATTTTAAGTGATATGCGATACTGATACTCCACCGTGTCAGCGTATCTTTAAGTAACTGTGCAATGAAACCCAAGCTTTGTGATTCATCATGGTTTCAGATACATCGCTGATTCATCACTGTTATCCTAACATAAGCATTTCAACAGTTAAAACATTAAAAAAAACCCCACAACTATGCAATTTTAAAGTTGCTGTAGTACAATATGTATGTGTGACGGTGTTTCAGGTCTCAAGAATTAATAACTGGGCATTTTGTTTTGTAGATGCTGTAGATGGTAGGGAAGAAAAGCCTGCTGCTGCTGACTCTAATGTTAAGCCATCTACTCAAGTTATAGCAGCAAGCATGTCTGCATTTGATCCGCTGAAGAACCAGGATGAAATCAGCAAGAATGTCATGTCAGCGTTTGGCTTGACAGATGAGCAGGTGTCAGGTAAGAATACATCTTATGAAAAGGAAAGCAAAACCTGTTCATAATCAGTGACTCAAATCTTGATTTGTAACAGAGCATTTGTGTTTTGGATGTATTAAGCTGTGTTCTGTATTCACTGTTTTCACAATTCTAAAACTCGATATGTTAAGGTGGTGTAACTGTGTGCGCTAACTTTTGCATATAAAATGTTGAAATGTTGCTGTTGATTTTAGCATTGTGTTTTAGCTTAGAGTAGAAAATGGCTTAAAATTTATTTGAATTATTTAAAGCTATTGTGTAAATTCATTGGTGTCTGCCAGTGATAGAAAAACAGTATCCACTGCGCTGCCTTAGGGTTTGATCTTGCAGTTAGTTCATGTTCTTGGCTTGTGCTTCTGCTGTTTGGGCCAGTCAGAATGTTTTGTACGACCCTGCCTTTTCTCTGTTTCATTTCAAAAGTAAATAGTGTCAGCTTCCTTACCGTTAACAGAAAGGAGTAACATACTTGCCTGAATTATGTTTATTCTTGGAGCTGCGTGGCTGTTGGCCCAACCAGAATGCTAAACGTATAAAAACTGATTATACTAAACTGAACACAGTCAACAGAAGATAGGATAACTGAAATTAGAAAAGCAATGTAGAATGTAATAGGGAGCGTGATGCAGAATATAGAGAAGTGATTTTGCACAGAGTCTGCGTGGGTCTGGTAAGGTTTAATGTAGCACCGAAACGTGAAAATAAAACTGCTGTTAGCTAACAGGATTTGCTGTGTACTCTCAGCTTCAGAGCAAGTAAATTTTGTATGGTGTGTGAAGTAATGAATGATACAGAGGGGCAAACGAATAGCAACTGGAGCTTGCTTCTGCAGTACGGCTGCCTTGGCAAAAGTGTGGAGTGCTAGGAACAGATCTGCCCTGCCTGATAGCGACTGTGCAGGGTCCAAAGTCGTACCCGCAGACAGGGCGGCTGTCTTCAGACTGGGGTACTGCTCTGTGGATCAGGCCTGTTGAGCCATCTCCTCCTCCATGCCACGTTTTGGGTACTGTCACAGCATCGTTGTTTCACAAACCTGATAAAGGTTTGATGGTACTTGAAAACTTACAATGGGCTACCTCTGAACAATAAAGTGAGAGAGTGGAATGTGAAGTACAACTAGCCGAAAATTGGAGCTAATTTTTGAAGGAGTGGTTTTGTCTTTTGGTACAAAGCCTCGGTGTCAGTTAATGCTTTGATCATAGCTTCAGTCATACTTCAATGTTTATGCGTCTCCATAATTCTTCTGATAAAGTGAACTGACCTGACCATGCTTTGAAGTACAAAGAACTTCAGAGAACCATTTAAGCAGGATATAAGAAATCCCATTTCTGAAGGTATAATCCTGCAGTTATGTATATAAAGGCAAAGCCAGAAGTAGGGAAATTTGATTCATTTTCCCCCTAATAAGGGTAACGTGAAAACACAATTAAGGGCTTGTTGGATGCATATTTATATTGTGTAAATGTTAACTTTCTTAAAATTGAAAGTGAATTTGCAGCAATTCCAATACTTGTGCTTAACTTCCAAGTATGCATTTGAAAGTAGTGTCTCATAGGTAGCATTCCTATAACTACGACCAGGAACGATCCAGATTTGAGCTCCCGTGTTTCTAGCAAAATATTTTGCATTTAATTGTATTATATCACACCCATTCACATGTGTATTTCAGAACTTCTTACTAAGGTAGAGAAAATCTGAATTCTCTGTTTCCGTGCTTTCTTTGGGTGCTAGCTGGAATATTTTTAGAATTATCAAAGCAGACAATTGTTTTCAGACTGAAGCCTGCTGTATCCTGTCTGGGAGTGCGAATTTAATACCTTCCTTGGAGGTTTTCTGTTCACGTGCTGTGTGACGGTTGGTAAAACACTTTGTTGCCTGGGACCATGTGGGCCACAGTAAAACACTGGTGCATTTGAACAGTTTCACGCAGCCTTGCACCTTTGCTCCAGGTGAGAAAGAATAGGTGCGTAGGGGCATATTCTGTCACACGTAGCGAGTCTGCAGTGTACGTGTGCAAGGTTAACGCTTGAAGCTGTGGAAAACCCATGCTGTCACACAGGGTTTTGTCCCACAAACGGGTTCCTCGGGAGGATGAAATTTGAGTGACCTAGAGACAGGTGGAAAATTCCCCTCAAAAATATTTTGAAAGGAGAGTTTTGATGTGCAAATGTATTTAGTTTTAGCTTGGGTGTGACACTCTCAGATGTAGATCTATGGAAAACTGGAAAAAATGTTAAAAACTTTGCAAGGGAATGGTCTTGAATTAGAATTTTTTTTCTTATTCAAACTCTCCATTCATTTCATGTACGGTATTTTGTTCTTGCTCTACTAGGACCACCCAGTGCCCCTGCAGAAGAGCGATCAGGAACACCGGACAGCATCGCTTCCTCCTCTTCTGCAGCCCATCCCCCTGGTGTTCAGGCACAGCAGCCACCGTACCCCGGAACACAGCCACAGACTGGTCAGGTGGAAGGTAAGCAGCAGGTTTCTCTGCTATTTAAGAGGTGAACGATGGTGTCTGAATCTGAGTGATCAGTAGCTCTGACTTCCAGTTAGCAGACTCAAAGTCGATACCAAAGTACAGATTCACCTGTGCCACCAGGCAGAAAAACTTTTTTCCTCGCATGGTGTTCAACACCGAAACAGCAGGTGGAGCAGTCGCTTTATTTAAAAGGGTCGGTGATGTAAGGTGAGGAGGACTTTCATGGTACCGTTTTCTGCATGCGTCCGTGCTCACTTTACCGTAAGGCAGATTTATATACGCTGCACTTTAAAGCTACCTGAAGTGCTTGGTTTGTGTCATACCCTGTGTGCAGTCAGGTTAAACCACATGACTCTCACATGCGCTGTAGTTTTCCTAGTAACCCTTGAGAGCCTCGGCTGGCTCTCCTTCAAAGCTTCAGGCCTTAACTCAGGTGTTCACATTCCGTTGTCCTACACTTTTTCGCATGTTATTTGACTTCTAAAAATAAACCTATTCAGAGGTTTGCTGCATTTGGGCATTATTTTTCTACTGATATTTCTAAGAGCACTGAGCCTTCGGACCTGCATAGTTCTGGATGAAACTGTCTGTGGAATAACTTGTGTTGGTACTTCTACCTCCGTATGGAGTACAATACAAAGTTGTTTCTGTGTTAGCGTAGAAACAAGTTACAACCCTCTGCTGCTTTCTGTACTGGCGTAATGCTGAGATAATGTGAGAGGCATTACTGAGGGTGATGACAGTATCCCCAGTCACTCGGCATATCTTGCCTGAAGGGCGTCAGTAACATTTTGATTGAGCAGAGTATTTGAGCAACTTGTAGTTAGGCATAATATTTAAGCCGGCACGAATGCTGTTGGTTGTAGTGGAGCTTATAAAACACTTGTTTTGCTGCTTTCAGCTTTTTTTTTTTCCTGTTACTTCCCTAAGAATTAGTCAAGTGATATAAATAAGACAGCAAGAGACATCTTTGTAGCTTAAAGATATAACAACTGTTTGGCGTTTGATGTGTGTGGAAGTTACTTTTGGAAAAAAAAAAAGTGCTTCAGGTTCCCCTGTCAGCAGCTAGAAAACTTAATATTCACAAAATGTACTCTCAGCTACTGAACTTGTATTTTATGAATTTAGCCTTTTTACTTTGCTTTAGTTTTACTTCAGTACAATAAGGTATGAGGTTTTAAGTGTTGATGTTAAACTAGAACAGAAACAAAAAAGTGAAACACTTAAAAACACTAGCAGCAGTAGGTTGGAATCCTGAATGGCTCCTAACACCAGGGAAGGGAAGAAGTGCTTGTTCCAGCAAAACTCATCTTACTTAGGAAAGAAGTTGTCTAGGCTCCTGTATCAGAGTAGATATAATGATTTTTCTAAACTTTGGTCAATGAAAGTATAGTGTGTTTTTTTTTTTTTTTTTTTTTTTTTTTAAACGCTGAACTGTGCTATACCTTTGCCCAAGCCCTTTTTTTGCATGTAAAAGTACAACAGCACTAATTATGAAGGTTTTGGTCTGTAGTTTATGCAGTTTTTGTTATTGCCACTGAAAAATGTTAAGTATTGATTGTATTTTCTTCACTCTATGGATAAAGTAGGGTAGTTCAGTTCTTGGGAAGAGATCAGATGTCGTTATTGGACTTCGTTCATCAGAAATACGAGTGGGAGCGCTTATGCTGTGCATTGTATGCATACGGCAAATAGCAGTCTCTTACCAAAGCTGGGAAATAGATGGGTGATTATCAGCCTCTGAGTTTTTTTCATGAACTAAGTTGCTTTTATCCGAAGTGTTCAAAGGCTTCCCTTTGAAACACGGAGTAGCTTTCCGTACGTCACTGTTTGATAGCACCTCAGTCCGGCGGTCATCTGGGGACCGGTGCTGTCCCGACCTGCCCTTGTGCAGCTGAGGTGAGAACCAGCGCAGGGCTGGGGCCCAGCCGGAGCTTTGGATACGTTTTGATGGTTGGGTTTTCAACAGGATTGGCTCAGGCAAATGGCACTGCTGGTGCAGAGCATGTTCTTGTTAGAAATTAGTTTTAAAACTAATTTTAAAATATTAGTTCACTTCTTCAAAAACCAAAACACCCCAAGCTGTGCTTCCCTTCCACCTTCCCAGTATTTTGAGGATGTAAGTAAAATGGTGATGCCAATCATGTGTCAATCATTCTGGTATATCGGGGATTATTTTTTTAATGGCATTCTTTGCCAATAAATGATGTTACGATGATTATAATTGGTTATTAGTTGTTGTTATTTGTGAATACCAAGTCACGTCACCGCTATGTGCCAATACTAATGAATGTATTGCCTTCCTGGATAAAGTTTTAAGCATTTACTAGTTTGAATTAAATCAACGCAACAAAGGCGTTTCAGTACAGTGCTGTCTCTTGTGGCATGCCTGTGCTTTTGTACCACTAAATCCAGTCACTGAACACACACGAGAACCAACTATGTACAGCTGTGGACACTTTTTTAATCTTTGCTGAAATAGATGTACAAGTTCATTCATGCAAGCACTTCGTGATCTTCTAGGGAAAAGAATGTTGTGTGAATATACCTGTTTGGTCTTTTTTCTGGATCAAGCTAAAATGGCTGTTTCGGTGCACAGGAACAATGGTAAATGCTGGCAAATCCGTGACTGCAGTAAGCACTGCTAAGTACAAAACCAGACACTGATGCTGTAGCTCACCTTGTTTTCAGAGTAAAAATCCAGCGAGAGGGGAAAACTGTGTGTTTAAGGACCCATAGGATCCCTAACTGCATTCATGGCTGTAAATTAAGAATGTTTTCTTGAACGGCACTGGAACTCCTCTCTGCTCCTCACTACCGCTTCAGCCCTGGTGAAGACAGCTAGCTGCCTCGGAAAGCTTTGGAAAAACTGTGTGCTGTTCTGTTCATATTCCTGTACCCGGGGTCTCCAGCAGGTGCCAGTGTGGCCTCTCTGTTAGCCTGTAGGTAATCACCCGAGACAGGCAGCCTCCTGGGTCTTCTCCCAGAACTTCCCTAGAACAACTGAGCGTAAGAAACAGAAAACATGCATTCTGAGCCTCTAATTCTTAATTATCAAGCTAACAGGCTTAAATTCTCTTCAAGCCTTGTGTTTAGCACTCTTCATCCCACAATAATTGCATACCAAATAATATTTTGAACGACTGCACCAATATAAAATATGTTGAACACCTTAGTGTGAGTGTAAAATACCGTTGCTTTCAGCTGCAAGTAACGCAGAGAAAAGAAGTAGTAAGGAGTTCTTTTAAAGCAGTGTGCACAGGGGTCTGGGAGGACTTGTGCTGAGCTGCTTTTGTCTTGGTGCAGTTCAGAAAATAGAGCTTACAGTACATTTATACAGTCTGCTGATCTTTGCAGAATGAATAATAGTGCAGTAACACTTTATAATAGTAAAGTTTCCATGTCTGCTCCAGTTCAGCTAAGCTTTAGTTTTGGCAGATAACTGGTGGTGTTCTTTGACTGTGCCTGTTAATAAATTGAAAAACAGCAGAAGTATAAAGCCTAAACAGGGCCAGTAGGTTAAGTCTAAACAAATATTCTGCCTCTTCTTGCCAAGAAATTGGAAACAGTGAATTTAGGAAAAATTAGCATTGAATACCTAAGCTTAAGAATGTATGGTTTTATTTTTGCTTTAGGGTGTATACCCCTGGGTCTCTTAAGAAAACTTGGCTTACGGCAAGTCAGATACTAAGAGATGGATGACTTATCTGGAAAATGTGGTCAGAATAAATAACGTACCACTCTGCTTACAGTACTTTGATGCAGAAATGGTCTGAAAAACCTAATATAAACAGACCATCTAGGATATGTTTGACTTCTGAAGTACTTTAATTTACAGTGTAAGTTCTGGAGCAGTTATCGAGACGTTTAAAGATTCCTGCTCTGTTACCCAGCAGCGTAGCACTAACTAAGGTGCGTGGCTTCTGGCATCCTCTGAAAATGTGAAAGAGTAAGCCTCGTGCACCAAGTTAGTTCAGAAACTAAAATCTGTAGATGGATTTCAGTTGGTAATTAGGTGGAACACATATTCAAATTTCGCTGTGTTCAGATTTTTTTTAAAAAAGCTTTTACGTGTTGTGAGAGGGTTTGTTTCTGTGATTTTGAACTGTTAGGATGCTGTTCCCTGTGTGTTTATAATGTAGCTAGGGTGCTGGGCTTCAACTAAATACCTTTTTAATCCATAGGTCAGATGTATCAACAGTACCAACAGCCTGGTTATCCTGCTCAGCAGCCGCAGGCTCAGCCTCAGCAACAGTACGGTATGCAGTACCCAGGTAAGCAGCGCTCTCGACGGCGGTTTAGCTGTCAAACCTTTCCTTTGGTGCCCGACCCCGTGAGCTGCGGTGCCTGAGTGCCTGTGGTTCTGATGGGAACTGGCACAATTCAGAAATTAGCAGTAAGGGAACACGGTAGCTGTCTGTGTTTTTAATACGTAGTTGGAGTTCTGGTATCTCAAGCCTACTTGATTGTGACCAAAAGCAGACTTCGTTATTAATCAGCAGGAAAAATGAATCCCCTGAAGTGTGAGCAGTCTTCAGGATTAACTGCTGCAGTCTCGGGATTCTAGCAAGTAAGTGAGTGACTAAAACATCCCCATTTAGCTTCCTTAAATACCAGAGGTATATAAAGATGGCCCGTACTTCTAGAGTGATCTCCATGTACAAAATCTAGTGGTGTGAACAGTGATCATAGTTGTCATTTAGGAAATGCTTAGTATTAGAAACACTGTCATTTCAGAGAAAATTTCAAGTGATAGGGGTTTTTTGTTGTTGAGTTTGCTGATACCCCAAGTAAAGGTGGCTGTAGACTTTTAGCAGAAGAACATTTTAGTGCAGTAGTGGTTTATGTGCAGTCAAATATGAAAAGCTGGCTTTTGCGTATGCCCAAAATAAACTTGACTTTCAGTTATGTACTGCTAAAGCAGCTGGCATCTGACAATGCATGGTATGTGCTAGGAATCATAATCCAGCTAAAGTACAGGGCTGAACCTGGATCAGCAGATTCCATAACAAATTGCAAGTTGCTTAATGCTTTTAGAGAATGATACAAAGCATTTATCGTTCCTTGTTTTAAACAATCTGTCTTCCTTCAACGAAAGACTCCCGTACCAGTAAGGGACTCCGAAGAGAGCCTGTATGGCCTTTTTTTGGTGTGCAATATATACAGCGGGAGTGCATCAGTTTTGATGTGGATGAGAACACTTGCAGGGCTTATGAAGAAATTCCATGTTTATCTTGGATAAGAACCCTAGAAAACTTGGAACTGAAGGTTCGTGCCTCAGCCCTTGTTCCTGTGCACTGCGCGAGAGCTGGTTGATTTGGGTCTCTAAATGGCATCTGGTTCCCTGCCGATTTCTCACCCCCACATTTGTAATTAGAAGACGGTGACAGACTTTCTGAAGTCTAATTTCAGAAGAAGTAACAAGCCTGTTGGAAGGAGGAGGGTCTATCTGACTTTCTTTAAGCCTAAAAACTGAGCAGGGGGGAAAAAAAGGAGTTTCCATTGCTCCCTAGCCCTATCCAACCATCAGCTAATCCATTATTTTCGTGGAGAAGTTCCCCTGAAAGCTGTAGTGCCATGCGAGGTCAGCATTCTAATCCACATCATCTCCGAGTAAGAATGACACACCACCAAAACCGAGCTGGGCCTCCTCTGGTTCTCAAAACTTATTTCACGATTAACCTCATCTTTCAGAAACAGTCTTTTTTTTGAGGACCTGGTGACAGCAGCCTTTGAAGATCTTGACTCATGGGATTTTTTTTTTTTTTTGTTCATTTGTTTTGCTGTTGTTCCCATGCGTATTGTCTCTTTCCAAACCTGTGTCCCCCCAAGAGCAGGCGCCATTCCCACTCTTGTAGCTCTGCTAGGCAACAATGTGGCTATGTACTCGGGGTAGTAAAAATGGGCCCTTCAGAGGTTTCTCTCATGAGTAAATTTTGATCCCGGTTTCAAGGTGAGTTTACTTCAGCGCATTCTTCAATCCTTACTCTCTTTCCATTCAGGGCTGTGCACTTTTAATAATTTGTGTGTCTGGTGTTTAATGCTGACAGGATTCCAGTCACTGGAGAGGTTTCATTGCAAGTAGCTGCAGGTGTGTTTCACGATGGATAAAAGTAGCTATTTCTTCATAAAAGGACTTTGTGTCATTTTTAAAGTTTTTTCAATAAGAGAAATTCCGGTTTTATACAGAAAAATCATGTTTGGGACATGTTTAAATGGAAGCGTTGTACTGAAGTGTTCTGTTCTGCGCAACTCTCTCATATGTAAAGAACTAAGAACACCTGTGATTTAACCAACGGGGGATGACTTATATTAAACCCTGCCAATATTTTCATGACCGTTTAGTTTTGAGTTTGTACTTGGGGGAAAAAGGTTGCAGTTTGCCTCATTTGCCAATGAAGCTGTTTTATTTTTCATGTGACAAAATGGTAAAATACTAGTTGTCGTTTTTTTTTTTTTTTTTTTTTTTTTTTTTTTTTTTTTTTACTAAAATCTCTCCAGGGTCTGTTGACTCGCTGGTGTCACTCTCCCACCCCTGATGCCACATGCAGATGAATCCAGCACTCCCGG